AATTTAATTAAAAAACCCAGTTTTTATTTTTGATTGGGAGGACTCATTTTGAGCATTTTTAGAACATGTAAGCAAATTTTTCTTTCGTTATTTCTCTTTCCTCAGATATTTTTCTCTGCCTCGGATTCCTTTCCCTCTTGCCATTTACCAATAGCATACCCACGTTTTCAAAATGTTAGTGGAATTGCCTGCCCTCCAGCAAAGCTTAGCACGGAGCAACTTGATGCAAAAGTACGGAGAAAAATTCAGAACAAGCAATTATTCGCCCATAAAAGACAAAAAAAATGTCAGTATGTCACTGTATGAATGTACAATTATTGAATGGATGAAAATGTGCAATTTTTTTTTTTTTTTTTGGTTTCTTGTTTGGTATCCGGGGTTTCGCCTCGATTAATCCGGATCGGCCCGCGAGGCACACCAGGTTGTGGTGAGGAGGTCTCTCAACGGAGACTGTTGCGTACACAAGGTCTCAAACTCGAGATTTTATCTAAGTTAGAACAAGTCACTTACTACTTGATCCAATCCGTTGTTGGTAAAATGTGCAATTATTTATCAGCATCATCAGACGCTGTAGACTAGGCGGTGAGAGTCTAGACCTCAGCGCCATGTCAAATGCGTCCTTGAAACCTCCCATAGACATCAGGACATGACAGCTATTAATGGAGTCAGATATTAAATATGACCGAGAGGTATCAATTTTTTCTATAAAAGCATTTATAGAAAAATCTAAGGATAGAGAAACAGTAGTTAATTGGTAATGCTAATTACCTGCTAAAATAAAATGGCAAGGAGATAAAGTGAAAATGAGGATTCTTTGTATTTTTAAATACTAAAATTTGATATGAAATTATTTAGATATTATTAATAAAATATTTTTATGTGTTAATTTATTAAAAATGTTTATATTTTTTTATTATAAATTTTGACATGTTAATTATCGTGACTTTTTTATTTTTTTAATTTCAAATTTAAATTAATGTTTTTAGATTATGTCTTTTTCTTTTTAACAATTTTACAAAAAATTGAATTTAAACCATTACCTAAAAGAAAGTGGATGTACTTTAACGTAACCTAACGTCACTGGATCCGAAAGTTTAAGT